TTGCAGCTAAGACAAAGGCAATATTATCTAGGCTTGATCACATGGATGCTCCCACCCAGGACTCTGAATCGTCAATAAATGATATAAAGACACAGAAGACAGAAGGCAGCAGGTGGTACAGAGTCTGAGGCAGCTGGGTCCCACATGGCCTACTGCATAGTTTGAGTCCTAGACATGGCAGCTTGAAAGTCACACTGGGCATGTGTGCGTGCATGCCCAAAATCCCAAGAGGAGAATGAAGAAGAGCCTGTGGCATGACCATCCACCCTGGGGGGATGATTTCTTACTTTTCCTCTCTTTCTCTCTCTCTCTCCTGTGAGTGCCTCACTCTATAGCAAAAAGTAAAAACAAGCAAACAACAAAACACACACACACACACACACACTCAAAAGAAGATCCAAGGGACAGAAATAGAAGTCATTTAAGATGGTATGGTATTGGGACCAAGCAGATGGAATAACGGTTATGTCCCTGGACTCCCACGTAGTCAACCATGGTTTGAGTCCTGGACCTGATGGTTTAAAACTCATGCCAGTGTGTGCATGTGTGCCCAAAATCCCAAGAGGGGAATGGAAGAGAAGGAATTCTGGTATGGCCATCCCCCGGGGGGGGATGATTTCTCATTTTCTGTCTCTCTGTATCTTTCTCTTCAGCAAAAGCACATGCCTTATAGCGAAAGTCTCTCTTTAAAACAAAAAAGATGGTAGCAGGGCTGGCAGGTGGCTTGGTGACCCCAGATCCCGAAAGGAGGGAGAGATGGAGAAGAGATTGCAACATGACCATTCCCCATAAGGGGTACTTTCTCACTTTCCCTCATTCTCTGTCTCTCTCTGGTCAAATTAAAATAATAATAATAGCAACAAGTAAAATAAAATAAACAATTCTTTAAAAAAATAAATATTTTTTGGGACCAGCAGATTGCGTAATGGCTATGTCGCTGGACTCCCATGTAGTTGACGGAGGGTTGAGTCCCGTACCCAGTGGCTTAAACTCACACTGGGTGCATGTGCATGCATGCTCAAGATTCTGAAAGGAGAATGGAGGAGAAGGGATTGTGGCGTGGCCATACCCCCTGGGGAGTGATTTCTTGCTTTCTGTCTCTCTCTCTCTGTCTTTATGGCAGGCACACGCACCCTGCAGCAAAAACAAACAAACAAACAAAAAACAACAACAAAAAAAGAACAAAAGAAAAACACAAACCTCTCCGCCTCAAAAATAACAATAATAATAAAAGACAGTGTTATGAATTAAAAAAAAGATGGTAGCATACATTGATGATAGAGGTAGTGGTTCCAGTTGTGGTATCCTTAACTAGAACATTCCTGTGGTGTGAGAAATCATCCCCTAGGGGGAATGGCCACACTAACAATCTCTTCTCCTCCATTCTCCTCTCAGAACTTTGTGGACACATGCACACAAGCCTGATATGAGTTTCAAGCCTCCAGGTCTGGGACTTGAACCACAGTTGGCCATGTGGAAGTTCAGCAACATAATCATTACACCTGTTGCTGGTCCCAAGAACTTCTTTTTTTTTTTTTTTTTTGAGAGGTTTTCGCTATAGGCCGCGTGCGCTCGCCAGACAGACAGAGAGAGACATAGAGACAGAAAGCGAGAAATCACTCCCCAGGGG